GTTAATTTTCTTGGTATATTCCTGGCCTTTAGCCAAATATTCAATTGCAAACACCTTAGAAAACCAAATTTCTGAGCAAAGTATTACCCTTTTGCACGTTGATTGTAAAGAAATTATTATCTTACTACACTCAAATTATCACATATAACAATACACCTACCTCTCCATTCTTCCACGATCAATAAATAGCTGCTACATGGGAAATAACTTCAACAGTGTTACATTTCTGTTTAATCTATCTTGTGTTCATGATTCTGGTCTTTCTTGAGCACACCACTTGAAGTATTTACCAAGCCAATAGCACCTGATGCCTCAGTGAACAGCTACAAACAATCAACTCTTTAAAATTCACCCAGCCACATTGACCTTCCATTACGCTTTTCCAGAAATGTGTGTGTATATATATATATATATATATATATATATATATATATATATATATATATATATACATACAAAATACAGAAACCTGTACACCAGGAGACTTCATGCTTGATATTACCATACCCATTTTTTTCCCCCATTGAAAAACTCTTGATGCAAATGTCAACAAACCTCAAAACGATTGTAGCACCTTTAAGGTAACTTTTACAACCCATTACCTGATGTATCAGCATCCTTATGTTCATATATTATCTTTTGGCAAACTGAACTCCAAATTTGTAGCCCATGGATCAGCGCAGCTAAGAGGAATAGGCCTTGACAGAGCCAGGAGGTAGGCATAGCAGCCACAGGAATTTAGTAACAGCTAGCATGCTGGGTAGGGCGGAGCCATAAGGGGAATATTTATACCAGCCATTATATGAAGTGGCCATTTTAACTGAACCTAAGCTTACCTGTCAGTTGTCCCTCCCACCCTCCCTGTATTTGGTTAGGTTAGTTGATTTCCCATTTTTTCACAGCGGCGGGGAATGGCCTGGTTAAATCGGAGGGTAGATGGAGGAGAAAGTGGGCATCCTGAGGTTTAGTGTGGATTGGGCAGTGTTGCACGTGGTTGGTAGGTTCGAGCCCGTCGGTGGCTCCGAACCTGGGGGTGTGGTGGTGTCTTGGTACACCCTACACTGGAACTGGTGGGTAGCGGTGTCTTGGTACACCCCTACAATGGATATGGTGGGTAGCGGTGTCTTGGTACACCCCTACAATCGATATGGTGGGTAGCGGTGTCTCGGTACACCCCTACAATTTAACCTGGTGAAAATGTGGTCAAATTGGACGGCCAGTTTCTGTGTTAACATGTTATTTAGATTGTTATCTATTGTTATTATTGTGGGGTCATTACTAGGGGTATGTTATGTATATGGGGGAGGTTAACATTAGGGAGGTTAACATTATTAAGATTTGTTGGCAATGACCCCATTTGTTATTCCTTAATTATTTTATTAATAATTTAATAAAGCTGGGGACGAATTATTTCCAACAGTATAACCTGTGTCCGTGTTTTAATGGGGGTTTGGGTAAGGTTAGCGCATATGCCGGCAAATCCGACTGTGCGCCTGTCATGATGAATCAATGATTATGCCATAGAAATTGTAAAATGACAGGTGAGTAAAGTCATCTTATCTTCTGCTAACTAAAATACACAAATTATAAACCACCTTTTGTAAAGTTTTCAACAAATGCCAACAGTTGCCACTGACTTTTAAACCCCCCAGATAAAATTCTTCCACATAGTGCAACATTTCTTTCAAACCATCAGTACCTCACAATCCAAACTTTTCCAGGGCTAGGAAGAAACCCAAAAGTAAGTAAATAATAAAACATAACCTTTAATAAAGATTATATAATATAAATAGATATGTAGAGAATACAACTTGTAATTGATCATCAGGCTAACAGTACCATCCAATAATAAGAAAAAGGAGAAGAAAAATAGAAACCAAATAATGAATCAAATTAATACATATAAATAAAATTAAATAAATTGAACAGAAACTAATAGATGCAAAATGACCAAGCTGTTTTGGTAGCTATAGTAGTTTTTTTTAAAGGGTTAAAGGGACACTGTAGGCAATCAGACCACTTCAGCTCATTGAAGTAGTCTGGGTGCACTGTCCCTTTTGCACCTAGTGAGAAACTGCAATGTTTACATTGCAGCGCTAAGTCTGCCCTCAGTTGCTGTCTACCAGACAGCCACTAGAGGGCTTCCTGAATTGAAACAGACCTTTGGTCTGGTATCTGACGCTGGATGGCCTCATGCTCTGCATGAAGACCCACAGTGTCAGATTTTTGGGGAGGTCTAAAGTGCACGCCGCATTTGCTGCTCATTAGCTACTGCTCGTCGTGGGCTGTCTGAGGGGGCGGAGCCAGGGGCATTGGCGCTGGGATAATGTAAGTATTTTTATGTTTTTAACCCTTTATTTACCTGGGTGGGGGGTGCGAGGGAGGGGCAAGGCAGTGGGAGTTATAGTGCCTTTAATACAGCTTTGTATTTCTGGCAGTATAGTATTCCTTTAAAGGACCACTCTAGGCACCCAGACCACTTCAGCTTAATGAAGTGGTCTGGGTGCCAGGTCCAGCTAGGGTTAACCCATTTTTTTTATAAACATAGCAGTTTCAGAGAAACTGCTATGTTTGTAAATGGGTTAATCCTTCCTCCAATTCCTCTAGTGGCTGTCTCATTGACAGCCACTAGAGGCACTTGCGTGATTCTCACTGTGAAAATCACAGTGAGAGCACGCAAGCGTCCATAGGAAAGCATTGTAAATGCTTTCCTATGAGACCGGCTGAATGCGCTTGCAGCTCTTGCCGTGCGTGCGCATTTAGCCGAATGGGAGGAGGAGAGCTCCCCGCCCGGCGCTGGAGAATGGTAAGTTTTAACCCCTTTCCTCTCCCCATAGCCGGGCGGAAGGGGGACCCTGAGGGTGGGGGCACCCTCAGGGCACTATAGTGCCAGGAAAACGAGTATGTTTTCCTGGCACTATAGTGGTCCTTTAACACAGATACAGATTGTTTGCAGGAAGTGGAAGGAAAGGAAAATATACCAGCAAATGAATAGCAGTGGCAGATAAGGTATCCTCCATGTCAAGTCAATTCTCATGATCAGAAGCAGATAGTAGCAACAGGTCAGAAGGTCAGGACAAGCAGCCTGTACACTGTGTCCACTTTAGTAGCATGCTGTGTGTACTGACTCCAGACACAAAATTTACACACAACTAATTTTGGATGACAGCTCTTGGATGCAGCCCTACACAGACTTTAAAAAAAATAAAATAAATATAACCTTTAGTCTGTATGTTCAATTGAGCAGTGCCCCTCCGGGCAGTTCTAATAATTTGTTTGTTTCTTGTTTTTTGTTATATCACCTCATTACATTTGTAAAGTGCTGCAAAATATTCTAGTGCTACATAAATACTAATATTAATGATGATACTATGGTAAATGGTATATTTTCAGGCTGGACAAAAGTGGTGTCCCTCAGGGTCCTGTTCTGGTACCACTTCTATTCAGCATATTTTGCAGTTAAAAGAAAACTTGGTAAGGTGATACAATGTGAGCAAGATATTGCTTTGTTGCAGAGGGATTTATAGATTAGGGGAATGGGCACTCAAATGGCAAATTAAATTTAATGTACATAAATGCAATATTTCACTTCAGGGCAAACAATAAACAAGCACCTCACACTTATAAGCCACAACAAAACAACCAATGACAAGTGAAGTGAATACAATTGTTTATATACATATATTAGGCAGCAAATGAACAGTCAGTTCTTGAATTTAATGTGTTGGAAGTAGGAAAAATGGACAAGCGAAAAGACCTGAGTGACTTTGACGAGGGCCAAATAGTGATGGCTAGATTACTGGGTCAGAGCATCTCATTAGCAGCAGGTCTTGTGGGTTGTTCCCCGAATGTAGGTCTTAATACCTATCAAACGTGGGCAAGGAAGGACAACCGGTAACCTGGTGTCAGTTTCATGAATGCCCAAGACTCGGTGATTCACGTGGGGAGCGAAGGCTAGCCCATCTGTTCCAATCACAGAGAAGAGATACTGTAGCTAATATTGCTGAAAGATTTAATGTTGGTCATGATGGAAAGCTGTCAGAACACACAGAGCGTTTCGGTTTGCTGCACGTGGGGCTCTATAGCTACAGGCTTGTTAGAGTGCATATTATGACCACTGCCCATCACTTGGAAGAAGATTGCCTGGTCTGGCTACATAGTTACATAGGGTGAAGAGAGACATGTTTCCATCAAGTTCAGTTTTTCCTCAAATCTGTTTTTGCTGTTAATCCAAAAGAAGGCGAAAAAAACTATTTGAAACACTTTCCAATTTTGCAACTAACTAGAAAAATATTCTTTCTCGATCCCAGAATGGCAGTCAGATCTCACCTTGGATCAAGAAGCTGTTACCCCACATATTAAAAATTATATTCCTTAATATTATGTGTTTGCAAGTATTAATCCAGTTGCTATTTAAATATATGTATAGACTTGGATAAAACCACCTCTTCAGGCGGAGAATTCCACTTCTTTATTGTTCTTACTGTAAAAAGAAAAATCCTTTTTTTTTTCCTTAGAAGAAATATCCTTTTCCAGTCAAAATACGTGACCTCATGTCCTATGTATGGTCCTGCTTATGAATAGATTTTCGAGACAATAGTTCATATTAAAATTAAAAACAGTGCGTGGCTGAGAGCGCAACGAAGATGGCCGCCTGATTCTAAAGCTCTGCAACAGGGCAAACACAAAATGGTGTTCGTCTCTTTAAACAGCGGCAAACACCACTTTATCACGTCCACGCGAAGCAGCAATGGCGGGCAACAAAGGGAAGAAGTCCCAGGCAAAACTACAGACCTACCTGATACAGGACTCCCGAGGAACAGACCTGCAACACGGCGCCAGCTCCCTGTCCTCCACATCGAGGCGGGAGGAAGACCACACCGCAGAAAACATTTTATCTGCCACTGCTCTCTTGGAATCGGAGATATTTACAAGCAAAATGAGGGGAATCATGCAAGAACTACGGAAAGATCTGCACGCTGATTTCCAAAAGATCACCAATGACCTGCAGAAAACGTCTGGAAGTCCGCACAGACAAGTTGGAGAACAAAATAGACGACATCATAGACTTACACAATTCCTTTGATAACCATCTTAGTGTGGCGAAGGAAGTGGCAGTGCTACAACTCAAGCTAGCGGACATCGAAGACCGCTCACGCCACAACAATGTCGGAATAAGGGTGATACTGGATACAGTACCGGCCGCAGACTTGGAAGACTATTTCAAGGTCTACCTTTCCAGCATCCTGCAGGACCTGCCGGCCTCGGAGATTGTCATTGATCGGATTCCCAGGCTCTCTAAAGGCCGCAATGTGCCCCAGAGCACACCGAAAGATGATATCGCAAGCATACACTTTTACCACCTCAAAACGCAAATCTTGTCAGCATGCATATCTCAACGAAGTGTACAGGACATGTACAAAGCAATCCAGTTGTTTCCTGATTTGTTTGTTTTCACCATGAATAAACGCTAAGAATTTCAACAAATCACACAGGCGGGGATCTCCAGTGAAGCTGATTGTCACCAAGAATGGGACTACCAAAGCTACCATGTGTCCAACAGAGGCCTGCAAGCTCCTGTATCAATGGAACATTTAATTACCAGCGCAAGCACGTGGCATAGGTAACCGATGAGCCAGCCCACGACAAGTGAATAGACACCGGCTTCTTCGCCATGATCAAAAACACCTCCGGAAGAAAAGGACGATTCGGAGCCCTGGATGGCAGACACAGTCAGAACAACTGCTCCCACCTGAGAGACTTACCCATCTCCCCTAAAATCCACGAAGACGTAACAGGTATAGTTTATGTTACTTTTTTGTTTTTTTATTCTTCTGCTCCCAATTACTTTTTCCCAAACTGGAGTGCCTGTGGGTTAAGGACCCCACCACAAAATACAAAAGGGTCGGTCCCAGTTTACCCATTCGTTCACTAGAGGGGGGTGGGCCCAACTTACCCTACGCTCAAGAAAAAACAAAAATGATGGGGACTACTGATGCAGGTTATAGGTGGTGTGTTTTTGAAATGCAATGTATAAATGTACTTCTACTTGACAAAGCTTGAGTTGTAGCACTGCCACTTCCTTCGCCACACTAAGATGGTTATCAAAGGAATTGTGTAAGTCTATGATGTCGTCTATTTTGTTCTCCAACTTGTCTGTGCGGACTTCCAGACGTTTTCTGCAGCTCATTGGTGATCTTTTGGAAATCAGCGTGCAGATCTTTCCGTAGTTCTTGCATGATTCCCCTCATTTTGCTTGTAAATATCTCCAATTCCAAGAGAGCAGTAGCAGATAAAATGTTTTCTGCGGTGTGGTCTTCCTCCCGCATCGGTGTACCCAGGGGGGAGGACTATGGGGGTCCCAGATCCACAGTCTGCGGCCATGGAAGGAGGGGCTTTGCCTCTCGCGGCAACCCCCAATTTTGACTCAAACCAAGCTGCTCATATGGCCATGAAAATCCTCACTATAAATGCTCAAGGCTTAAATTTGCCTCACAACTGTAGAATGCTCTAGGAATGTGTGGAGGAAACAGGGGCTTCAATCATATGTAACGAGGAGACGCATTTTGCCAATGGTAAAATTCCCTACTTTAAAAATCCTAAATTCCCAACCATGTTCCACTCGATGAACCCCTCCAAAAAATGTGGCACATCTATACTCATCAGAACCACTCTACCCTTCCGCCAATCAGCAGCAGACCCTCCCTCCCTCCCAGACCCTCCCACCTCCTGGACAGCTCACTAAGAATGCAGCTTCAAAATGGATGCTGTCTAGGAGGTGGGAGGGTCTGGGAGGGAGGGTCTGCTGCTGATTGGCTGGAATGTGTCTGCTGACTGTGAGGTACAGGGTCAAAGTTTACTCAATGATGAGTCCGTGGCGAACCGTTCGTGGCGAACCGTTCGGTGAACCGTTCGGGACATCGCTACTTATAAGACACAGAAAAGGTCCCTTTAAGTATAAAAAAATAAACTTTATTGTAAAATTAGAACTGGGGACTGTCATGAAAAATAACTAAAATTAAAACTTAAAAAGCCATAATGGCTAGAGGGCTAATGGGGAGGAGAGGGAGATGACGTTGTTACTTCATAAACTTGTCAATACCGTACCCCAATTCTTCTGCTGAAAGAACGTAATAAAACACCCTATTCAAGCTCACTCTGCCTTTACTAAGTGGTATCCCTTCAGCATTCATAGTTTGCTCCTAAGTAACTCTGCTTTGCAACATGTGTTATTCGTACTCTGCTACATGTTATATTTTGTAAATTTTATCTAAACTCTTGAGTGTTTGGCTGTACCTAAAGAATTGTTATTTTTCCCCGGTACAAATTATTGATTCTTGCTAAAGCAGGGGTTCTCAACCCAGTCCTCAGGACCCCCTACCAGTCCAGGATTTGGGGATTACCTGGGTGTGTCTCAGGTGTTTAGAAAAAGGGAAAAAAACACCTTAGACTCTAGGGTGTTTTTTTCTTTTTCTAAACACCTTAAACACACCCAGGTAATCCCTAAACCCTGGACTGGTAGGGGGTCCTGAGGACTAATGTTGAGAACCCCTGTGCTAAAGGATAAACCATTTTTTGGCAGTAATACCCAGCATACTCTAGACTCCACCTGCCTTCTGATCACTTGAGGATTAGAGTGATGGGATTCGATTGTGATCTATCTTGAATTAATACTCACATTGTTGTATTGTTGTGAGACTACTGCTCCATAGGGAACTATACCCTTTTGCATTTATCCTACCACTCAAATTTATACAGTAACTTGACTGTTGATGGGAATGTGTAGACATTGACTCTATACTACCATTCCATATCAATTCCACTAGACAGCATTTATTTTTATTTTCAGCAGAATAATTGGGGTACAACATTGACAAGTTTCTGAAGTAACAATTTCATTCACCTCCCCTTTAGCCCTTTAGCCATTATGGATTTTTAATTTTAGATTAGAGAGACAGGGTTAGGGGGTAGGAGAGACAGAGTTAGGGAGTTAGAGAGACAGAGTTAGGGGGGGTTAGAAGGTTAGTGTGACAGAGTGAGGGGAAAACACACATACTTAAAATATATTTTGCTTTGCCCCCTCCTGCTTATCTTCTGTGCAGGCAGGGGAGGCAATAATTAATTTCATATTAGTCCAGTGGGTCCCTGGTGGTCAAGTGTGCTGCTGGTTCACTATCTTTTTGATGGCTGCTACAATTTCCAAGTGGTTAAAGGTTTCGGATAGTGTATGAATTTTGTCTGCGAGGTCAACTGAGTCAAGAAAACGCCAATGTCTTCCGTTTGCAGTGGGGAAATATGCGGATCATCTTACAAATTATAAAGCGTGCTATAATAAATGGCAAGTTTATTCACTATTTCTTGGGGGTTGAATAGTTTGCCTTTAGTGGGACTTTGTGTATAGGATATTTTGGTATTGGCAATTAGTGCTTTCAATTGTGATACCTGTAGGGCCCCAGTTTTATTGCTTCGGGTGAAAAATTTGTGTTTACATTTTCTGAGGATGTGGGTGTTTTGTTTTCTAGTTCTAGGTCCTTAAGTTGTGCTTATAGGTTGATTAAGTTACTTAGATTGGTCTGTGAGGGATTGTGTTTGTTTTTGTGCATCAAATCTGTTAACTCTTGTATGATAGTAGTGTATTCTGTACTTGTGTCTGTGGTGTTACTGTGAGTGAAATAAGTCTTCAGGTCCTCCTTCACTTTTGCAACTATAGAGTGGTCTTGAAGTAGTGTGTCACTAAGTCTCCACGACCCAGAGCCTACCCTCGGAAATTTTTCTTTCAGTGAGATGATAATAGGGGGGTGATTTGACCACAAGATCAACCCTATTTCTGTACTCTGTACCTTTGGCGTGAGTGTAGAAGGGATTATAAAACTATCTATTCTTGTGTAGGTATTATGGGCCCTGGAGTGGAAGGAATAGTCTGCTTCTGTTAGGTGTAAAATCTGCCATGCGTCTATAAGTCAGTGTTGTAAGATCTTTTATCGTAGTTTGTTTGCTATAGCACATTGTCTGTTTGAGGTAGTCGTGGTTACTATTAGTAGAGGATGTATCTAACATGTGGTCTAGTAGAAAATTTATGCCTCCACCTATGATTATGTCACCAAATTTATGCTGGGTTGCAAGAAGTGAAAGTACTTTGTCTAGGAAGGCCAGTTGGTTGTCGTGTGGTCCATATATGTTGATAAGTGTATAGGGTTCATTGTTAACATCACATTGTAATATTAGGAATATTCCTGCGTTATCACCCAATTTCTTTGTTAATGTGAAAGAGACAGCCCCACTGATTAGGGTTTACACCCCTCTCTTCTTAGTTTTTAAGCATGCATGAAAGTGAATCTCCCTATAATGGGTATTGTATTTAGTTATAAACGCATATTGATAGGACTCTAATTTTTTTTTAGTTTTTCTACATCCATAAGGAGGTAATTCCTATCCCTTTTAATCATTGTCCTAATTTATTTCTCTATACTGTTTTTATTATTTCCCCTTTGAATCCATTTGTGTTTACCATGCCCAGCTTGGGTGTTAATGTTCGGAGTGTTGGAACAATTACATTTTATTCTCTTTAGTTGACTTTTGACTAGCTATTCCTCTCAGCCATGGTTGATGGTGACAGCTTTTCCTGTGGACATAGCTGTTGCCATCTGTTGGTTTAACCCCTTAAGGACACATGACATGTGTGACATGTCATGATTCCCTTTTATTCCTGAAGTTTGGTCCTTACGGGGTTAAAGAAACATTTAGTAATGACTTCCCTTACCACACCCAAAAGAGTGACATACAGGAAGTCAATCTGTTTTTTATTTCATGCTGGGGTAAGTAAATTTGAGATTGAAATGATTGTTAAAATGTATTTTACAAAATTATCAAATAATTAATTGCTCCCTTTCCAAATAATAATGAAAACATCAAAACAACATGGCCAGAGCACCAAGGATGCCTATCAGTCATGGCCAGAACACACAAAGAGATCTTCCCATCTCCTCATGTAGGTGTTGGCATAACTGGAGGCAAATGTGGTGCCCGTGGATGTCCCTCTTCCCATGTAATAAAATAATTTAAATGGTTGATATTAGCTAAAATATTATTTGTATTAAATTATATTATTTGTATAATGCTATCTTATCCCCTCTGAGGCACTGTTTTTCTAAAGTAAACAGATTTAAAAATTTGAAATGGGCACTATAGACAAAAAACAACTTTAGCTTAATGAAACAGTTTTTGTGTATAGGTTTTCATGCAAGGCAATACCTTAATGGCCTTAGCAGCTGCTAATTAACATTTCACATTGTTGCCTAGTTTGTTTTCTATAATTCTCAACTATTTATTGTGAAGAATCGTATTTTCATTTTGATCAGGTGAATGTGCGTTAATTACCTGGTGAAGAGATGGCAGCAGGATGCATTATGGGAAAATGGCAGGCCGGTAGAGGCAGTGTTATGTTCAGGGCAATATTGTGCTGGGTAACCTTGGC